ACCTAATGTCTCTAGGATCTACAGGAGCTACACGTCTGTGTCTTTGACTAGTTTAAAAAACGGCAATAATCTGTTGAATGTGATGGAACAGACTTGGACTAGAATAACTGAAGCATTAAGTTCCAGCTGTGACGTTGAGTAGTTGATAATTAGACAACTAGAGTTGGCGGCCAATTTCATATTTCAGAGGTCAGCAGGATTGTGAGTATCGATGTTTTTTTAACCGGAAACGCAGAGGCTCACGGGCTCTAGCTTGAAAGAGGAAACGCAAATGGCGGACTGAGGCGGAGCTGTGTGTCTTCCTTTACGTCCGCATTCACGATTTAAATACGGACGTTCCTGACTCGACATTTATCAGTTTTTCTCCGGATCAACCTGAACTCGACAACATGAGTGGACGCGGCAAAGGAGGCAAGGGACTCGGAAAAGGAGGCGCCAAGCGTCACCGTAAAGTTCTCCGTGATAACATCCAGGGAATCACCAAGCCCGCCATCCGCCGTCTGGCTCGCCGTGGCGGAGTCAAGCGTATCTCCGGTCTCATCTACGAGGAGACCCGCGGTGTGCTCAAGGTCTTCCTGGAGAACGTGATCCGTGACGCCGTCACCTACACCGAGCACGCCAAGAGGAAGACGGTGACCGCCATGGATGTGGTCTATGCCCTGAAGAGACAGGGCCGCACCCTGTACGGCTTCGGAGGTTAAACGTGTCACCACAGCTCCCAACAACACAACGGCTCTTTTAAGAGCCACACAACTCTTCTACAGAGAATAATCCTTTTATATTTAATATTGGTATCCTATTACTGTGTAAGCTTAAATGTGAGGATATAAACATTGAAAATCATAAGTGACTTAACATTAAGATTAGTTCCTACTTTTGGTAAAAGTTTTAGAAATTACTTGAAATTATAATGAATGTATTAATTCTGTACTAGCTGCACTTGGTTTGTACAATATATTTCATATGTAGTAAACATAAGAACTTCAGGGATATCTCTGCGTTTGTTATGAGCAGTTGGTGTCTGGTGTTGTTTTGATGAAGTTGCCAAGCCTGGGATATTGTCTTTCAACTATTAACAGATTTAGTGTAATCACATTACTGCTGAACCCCTGCATCTATACATTGTTAAATGTCTCTAAATAAAAGCCATAAATAAAGATATTACAACTTCTGCACATCTGTGCTACTGGAGAGTGTGTACACTACTCAGCCTAGTTTAGTACTTTTGTTTATGGTCTGAAGTAGAAAACAGTGATTAGGTCATTCAACAACTGGTTGGAAAATCTGTGAAACCTTTTAAGATTCAGGATCAGATATGTTTCACATGTAAAGGTTCAGGCATGTTTGATAGATCATACAAATAAATTTCATTCATTATATTTATATATGGTGAACATTATGTATTGTTAAAAGGACAGAGCTCTTGTGAGACAGGTGTGTGGCTCTTAAAAGAGCCGTTGTGTTTAGACTGTGGTCAGGCGGGTTTAAGCCCTCTCACCGCGGATGCGGCGGGCCAGCTGGATGTCTTTGGGCATGATGGTGACCCTCTTGGCGTGGATGGCGCACAGGTTGGTGTCCTCGAACAGGCCGACCAGGTAAGCCTCGCTGGCCTCCTGCAGAGCCATGACGGCGGAGCTCTGGAAGCGCAGGTCGGTCTTGAAGTCCTGAGCGATCTCCCTGACCAGGCGCTGGAAGGGCAGCTTGCGGATGAGCAGCTCGGTGGACTTCTGGTAGCGACGGATCTCCCTGAGAGCCACGGTACCGGGCCTGTAACGGTGAGGCTTCTTGACGCCGCCGGTGGCAGGGGCGCTTTTACGGGCAGCCTTGGTGGCGAGCTGCTTCCTGGGGGCTTTGCCTCCGGTGGATTTACGGGCGGTCTGCTTGGTTCTTGCCATTTCGAGCGACTACGAGATTCTGCCTCTTCCTCAGAAAGAGTTGTGATTCTGAAGCTGTTCGTGTCTCTTTATATAGCCAGAGCCGGAGCGCCGACAAGGCTGATTGGTCGAATATGTGCACGTGATGTAGCTGCTCCTCTGCAGCGTCATACAAGGAGGCATGCAGGTTTCATGTATAAAACATTTTGTCAAGTATTTTATACACCAAATAATAGGAAAAAAATGATATATATATATATATATATATATATATATATATATATATGTCTTAAAACGTCATGTACAAAAGAATATAAGTATTAATCTATCTAATAAACATTTGTTATATGAGTGGGTTGGATCCAAAAACATTACATACACTTGTGTGTGTTCACACCATATGTTTTATTTAATGGAGACTAAATATTTATTGTAAAATAAATGTTGACAACCAAATATTAGTAACTATTACTGTAACTGTCTGTTATATGGAAGTAATGAAAGTACATGAGCATAACAGCTGTTTAATGTTACCACAGCTGGGTGTCATGTTGATATAAATAATATAAAGATAAATTAATGTTTATTTACTGGTAATGAATTTAACCAACTTTTCATCACTATCTGGTCAAATGTTAAACTGTGTTACTGTGTGAAATGAAAGTTAGACATTACAGCATCATGGATAAGTCTGATCTTCATTTATTCCCAGAGGGAAAACTCAAAGACAGAAATAAAATTAGAAAAGTATTTTAAAAAAGTGCATAGAAATAAATAAGAATATAATACAAGAACAATTAAAGTTCAACGGTATAAGGGCAAGTTATATACACAATACCTGTAACCTACTGTAAAGTCTCAAATCAGGAGACACAGCCGACAGTAAAGCAAGACAATTGTAGTCACATGTTTGAAAAATGTAAGTACTTTCTCTAAAAACTACAGGATCTTTAAGTCCATCTAGAAATGAGTGCAGTGATTTATAACCAGGATGGTCACCAATACAAAAATATACCAAATAAACTGTATATAAAAATAGAAATTCAATAAACGCCATCTTCTCCGGTTTCTTCTTCGACACAGCAATTTTTTCCAATTAAACACATTTACAAGTGCAGGAAGTGTATAAAACATAAAAAGTAAGTTTGGCGCTGGACATTTGCTCTTAGTGAAATATGTGGGTGGCTCTTAAAAGAGCCTTTTGTTGTGTTTAAAGTAAAGTTTAGAACATTTACTTCTTGGCTGCTTTCTTAGCGCCAGTCTTCTTGGGCTTGGCAGCTTTGGGCTTCGCCACCTTCTTCGCAGCCTTCTTGGGTGTAGTCGCCTTCTTGGCGGCCTTCTTCGGGCTCTTTGCGGGTTTCTTGGCCGCTGCGGGCTTCTTGGCGGCGACGGGTTTCTTGGCCTTCTTCGGTGTGGTCTTGGCCGCTTTGGGCTTCTTGGCGGCTGCCGGCTTCTTAGCGGCGGCTTTCTTCGCTGCGGGCTTCTTGGCTTTCGGCGCGGCGGCGGCGGCGGGCTTCTTCCCCACCTTCTTGGGCTTCTCGGCGGTCTTGCTCGCCTTGAAGGATCCGGAGGCTCCGGTTCCCTTGGTCTGGACCAGAGCGCCTTTACCGACCAGGGTCTTGATGGCGCGTCTGACGTGGGCGCTGTTGTGCTCCACATCGTAGCCCTGAGCGGCCAGAGACTTCTTCAGAGCCACGTAGGACAGACCTTTCCGCTCCTTGGACGCGGACACGGCCTTCAGGATCAGCTCACTGGCGCCGGGGCCTGTCTTCTTGCTCGGCTTAGCGGCCTTCTTCTTCGCTGCTTTGGCCGGAGCGGCGGCGGCGGGTGCGGCTGGGGCGACTTCTGCCATTGTACTGTCAAACAATCACTGTCAACGAGACCGATCGGACTGATTCAGATTCTCCTGCAAAGAGTGGAACTTAAACACACCATGAGAACCGTGGAGACTCAACCCGGCCGGCCTCTCCACAGAGCCGCAGGAACAGGAGACACTTGTGTTTTCTCTTTGCCGATAAACGGAGAAAATACACGTTTGGCGGAACTAATCAAATCTATAATCGTATCGATCTGACAGCGAACGAGTTTCTCTTCGTGTGTAAGTCAAATAAAGCTCTGAAGGTTTTTGAATATGGATTGGGAGGCCTTCAAACCTCTCCTATCTGCCGCCGTGAGAGGCGTTGGTCTGGGACTTTTCTCTCTCATTTCTCTCGTAAATGTTTTAAAAAGCTCCAGAAACCAAATTAAACGAGTTTGACAGTGAGATGAGAAGTTTGTTCACAGATCTGATGTCAAAAGATTTCATTCCTGGCACTAGTTTTTAATTAAACACAGGTTAGTTTGCTGCCTTCAAACACACTCATGCCAGTCGAAGCCACTGGCTGAGTTACTTCCTGTGTCATCTATTTACCAGTTACTCATTTTTAATTCATCATGGATTCATTCCTAAATTAAAGTTACTGCAATCTGAAATTGTGTAACATATATTTACATCACTGTAATGACTCAAACGCTTTTACACACACACACCGACCTCAAAGGAGACAGATGTGCTCAAACACACACACACTGTCAACAGTAGAGGTCACTTTATTTATCACTACACTTGATAACAATCAATATAATATCAATACACCTGTTGATTGGTTTTCCTACAATATCAAAGCAAGAAACAAATAATTTCAATGAAACAAACACTCAGGAAGTAAAACAGAAGAATAAAGGTTCATTCAGTCAAATAACAGAACACTTGTTTACGTCTGGACGACTAGGTGAAAGGGTTGATTTAGATGTTTTAATGTATGAAAAGTCACTTTTAAACAAAGACAACATTAAACTCCAGAAGAACATGAGGTGAAATAAGAAAGTTATATTACAGTGAAATGCCACATCACAAAAAACTATGGATTTTGCAGCATAGCTATAATGAATATGCCCTGAATGTAGTGATGAGAAATACTGTAAAATGTAAATAATTCACATTAAAATCAAACATATTTATCATGCTGTAAATACACCCTATTTCCAGTTTATGAGCTACATCAAGACACAGCTGTAGACACAGCTGTAGGTATAAATCAGGTTGAAATAACTAATAACTACAACATTATCAGAACCATCATAAAGATGAATCAACACCTGTCAGCTGATCTGATCATTATAACGTGGATGAAGATAGGATTTATTCCACTGCTGCTGTTTTACACTCAATCACTATTATATGGTATAATTGCATTGTACTATAGTTTATATGATGGTTTCGTGTTTAGGGTGAGAATAAACAAATACTTTTGAATTGACTCTAACTATTTATCATTTATTTTTGTTTTTTCAGTTGGTCACTAGAGGCCATCTTCATTTTCATTAGATTTTCTAGTCATGGCACATGAGTCATTCTTTTACAGCATGAAGGATATTTTTCGGGTTACTCTGTTTAAAAACATATTTAAACTGTTAATCCTGTAGCTTTTGTTTATTCGGTTGTCATCTTACCTTTAGATTTAAATCTTGTTTCTGTTGTGACAACATAATCTTAACCAAAACAGCATCGCCTTCCACAAACTCCAGTGATCTTTGACCTAAAGGAGACTATAGCAAATTATCCAACCTCATTAACTGACAGTTATTACATGTTTTACTATAAATAATATTTAAAGGAGGTTATATGCCATTTATATACTGTCTTTGATCGCATGACATGTGACACATGTCAATACAACCCATTTTGAATTTTATGTCCACATTTACAGTCATTCAGAAAGTATTCAGACCCCTTCATTTTTTTCACGTTGTCATGTTGCAGCCTCATGCTGAAACAAAATTTAAAAAAAATTTAGCAAATTTATTTAAAAAGTACAACCTAAAATACTGACATAAGTATTCAGACAATTAGCTATGACAGTAATAATTACATTTTTGAAATTTTGATGAAACCGAGATTGAACTGTTTGGTCTCTGTTATGTTCCCTGACGAGGAACCAGGGGAAGATCAGGAGGCAGAACAATGTGTCAGGAAAACCAAGGAATTTTCTTCTTAAACTAAAACACAAACTAAATCACCAGACAAGGTAACTAAAAGCGCTGGTTGCAAATGAACTATAAAACAATACACTAGCAGGGTTTTCACAGCGTACTAAAATGAGGGTCAAAGAACAAAAGAAAACACAGGTAAGTCAGGTATCGTAACACCCGCCTTCACAGCAAGTACAGCAGCGTACAGCTCCCACCCTGGGGTGTATTGTCATGTAACGTAGTGTATTGTACTGTGGAGCCAAACCATCACATACTTCATTCAGTGCGAGGATGACTGCTAATGTGGTGAATCAGCATAAGACCTCCAGAGCAGTACGGTATCCAAGTATAACAATAAAACACATATTAACCCGTTCATTAGGACAAGTTGACATACAGCGGAAATTCTGAATTGTTTAATATGTTTTTCAAGTGATAAACAGCCGTCTAGTTGTGTGACTGATGTAACATCAAAAGTTAAGATCCATGTTTTTTATACTTTATACTGGTCTCATGGTTTTGGTTTATGATGGTTTGATTTTCTCATGATCTTCCCTCCTTTTTTTCATCATGTAGGACAGGTGGACAATAATGCCACATAGGAAAAAAAAAATCGATTGGTCAGAATCTAAATATTGTGGTTAAAGGTGTAGGTGCTCGATAGAGAAGAATGTTATATCATAATTATATATGATGTATGTGCGTTTATTTATATTGACCATATTTTGTTGTTGATCAGATATGAAGACAAATCTGGAGGAATCCAAATAAAATCTTACTTTAAAAAAAGATTTAAATAACTAATGTTTCTGACTTGCTTGAAAAAGCTATAGATCTAGATCTAGATCTTCTTCTTATGTTTGGTGAAGGTATTGATGCCACTACTAATAATACTATGATTTATGAATACAGCCCATTCCTATTGGAATTAGCACAAGACAATATATTGACCTCAGAAATATATGAACAGTCTACATATAATGTCCAGGAAGATGTGAATCAAGTACATACAAATAGTCCATGTTCGTGCATCAGGTCAGTGGGAACATATATCTTACCCAGTTCATAGATAAATAATCTGTAATCTATGATAAATGTAAGTATTAATATCTATCATTAGTTATGTTTTAAACATATATTCAGTAAATTCGAACCCACTATCCTCCTGCCAGACCCAGGCCTGAGGCCACAGCAGCAGCTCATAGGTTTGATACAGCAGAACAGTGGAGCAGCTCATCCCAAAGCAAGAAATTACATTTCTATATTTATTCCTCCACTTTTATGTGCTTTTGCTTTAATGACAAAGAAACAGCTTCAGATTGTCTTTGGTACAAACACTTTTTACAGGAGAATAAAACTAATGATAAACACAGTGACTGTCTGCCATAGCAGGTGTAATCAACTTTTGAGTGTGTTTGAAGGCAGCAAACTAACCTGTGTTTAATTAAAAACTAGAGTCAGGAATGAAATCTTTTGACATCAGATCTGTGAACAAACTTCTCATCTCACTGTCAAACTCGTTTAATTTGGTTTCTGGAGCTTTTTAAAACATTTACGAGAGAAATGAGAGAGAAAAGTCCCAGACCAACGCCTCTCACGGCGGCAGATAGGAGAGGTTTGAAGGCCTCCCAATCCATATTCAAAAACCTTCAGAGCTTTATTTGACTTACACACGAAGAGAAACTCGTTCGCTGTCAGATCGATACGATTATAGATTTGATTAGTTCCGCCAAACGTGTATTTTCTCCGTTTATCGGCAAAGAGAAAACACAAGTGTCTCCTGTTCCTGCGGCTCTGTGGAGAGGCCGGCCGGGTTGAGTCTCCACGGTTCTCATGGTGTGTTTAAGTTCCACTCTTTGCAGGAGAATCTGAATCAGTCCGATCGGTCTCGTTGACAGTGATTGTTTGACAGTACAATGGCAGAAGTCGCCCCAGCCGCACCCGCCGCCGCCGCTCCGGCCAAAGCAGCGAAGAAGAAGGCCGCTAAGCCGAGCAAGAAGACAGGCCCCGGCGCCAGTGAGCTGATCCTGAAGGCCGTGTCCGCGTCCAAGGAGCGGAAAGGTCTGTCCTACGTGGCTCTGAAGAAGTCTCTGGCCGCTCAGGGCTACGATGTGGAGCACAACAGCGCCCACGTCAGACGCGCCATCAAGACCCTGGTCGGTAAAGGCGCTCTGGTCCAGACCAAGGGAACCGGAGCCTCCGGATCCTTCAAGGCGAGCAAGACCGCCGAGAAGCCCAAGAAGGTGGTGAAGAAGCCCGCCGCCCGCTAAGAAGCCGGCAGCCGCCAAGAAGCCCAAAGCGGCCAAGACCACACCGAAGAAGGCCAAGAAACCCGTCGCCGCCAAGAAGCCCGCAGCGGCCAAGAAACCCGCAAAGAGCCCGAAGAAGGCCGCCAAGAAGGCGACTACACCCAAGAAGGCTGCGAAGAAGGTGGCGAAGCCCAAAGCTGCCAAGCCCAAGAAGACTGGCGCTAAGAAAGCAGCCAAGAAGTAAATGTTCTAAACTTTACTTTAAACACAACAAAAGGCTCTTTTAAGAGCCACCCACATATTTCACTAAGAGCAAATGTCCAGCGTTCAAGTGTCCAAGTTCATTTTTATGTCTTATACACTTCCTGCACTTGTAAATGTGTTTAATTGAAAAAATTGCTGTGTCGAAGAAGAAACCGGAGAAGATGGCGTTTATTGAATTTCTATTTTTATATACAGTTTATTTGGTATATTTTTGTATTGGTGACCATCCTGGTTATAAATCACTGCACTCATTTCTAGATGGACTTAAAGATCCTGTAGTTTTTAGAGAAAGTACTTACATTTTTCAAACATGTGACTACAATTGTCTTGCTTTACTGTCGGCTGTGTCTCCTGATTTGAGACTTTACAGTAGGTTACAGGTATTGTGTATATAACTTGCCCTTATACCGTTGAACTTTAATTGTTCTTGTATTATATTCTTATTTATTTCTATGCACCTTTTAAAATACTTTTCTAATTTTATTTCTGTTGAGTTTTCCCTCTGGGAATAAATGAAGATCAGACTTATCCATGATGCTGTAATGTCTAACTTTCATTTCACACAGTAACACAGTTTAACATTTGACCAGATAGTGATGAAAAGTTGGTTAAATTCATTACCAGTAAATAAACATTAATTTATCTTTATATTATTTATATCAACATGACACCCAGCTGTGGTAACATTAAACAGCTGTTATGCTCATGTACTTTCATTACTTCCATATAACAGACAGTTACAGTAATAGTTACTAATATTTGGTTGTCAACATTTATTTTACAATAAATATTTAGTCTCCATTAAATAAAACTTATGGTGTGAACACACACAAGTGTATGTAATGTTTTTGGATCCAACCCACTCATATAACAAATGTTTATTAGATAGATTAATACTTATATTCTTTTGTACATGACGTTTTAAGACATATATATATATATCATTTTTTTCCTATTATTTGGTGTATAAAATACTTGACAAAATGTTTTATACATGAAACCTGCATGCCTCCTTGTATGACGCTGCAGAGGAGCAGCTACATCACGTGCACATATTCGACCAATCAGCCTTGTCGGCGCTCCGGCTCTGGCTATATAAAGAGACACGAACAGCTTCAGAATCACAACTCTTTCTGAGGAAGAGGCAGAATCTCGTAGTCGCTCGAAATGGCAAGAACCAAGCAGACCGCCCGTAAATCCACCGGAGGCAAAGCCCCCAGGAAGCAGCTCGCCACCAAGGCTGCCCGTAAAAGCGCCCCTGCCACCGGTGGCGTCAAGAAGCCTCACCGTTACAGGCCCGGTACCGTGGCTCTCAGGGAGATCCGTCGCTACCAGAAGTCCACCGAGCTGTTGATCCGCAAGCTGCCCTTCCAGCGCCTGGTCAGGGAGATCGCTCAGGACTTCAAGACCGACCTGCGCTTCCAGAGCTCCGCCGTCATGGCTCTGCAGGAGGCCAGCGAGGCTTACCTGGTCGGCCTGTTCGAGGACACCAACCTGTGCGCCATCCACGCCAAGAGGGTCACCATCATGCCCAAAGACATCCAGCTGGCCCGTCGCATCCGCGGGGAGAGGGCTTAAACCCGCCTGACCACAGTCTAAACACAACGGCTCTTTTAAGAGCCACACACCTGTCTCACAAGAGCTCTGTCCTTTTAACAAAACAAAATATTCATCATATATAAAGAAATGAATGAAACTCATTTCTATGATCTATTAAACATGAATCTTAAAAGGTTTCACAGGTTTCCAATATTCCAACCAGTTGTTGAATGAACTAATCACTGTTTTCTACTTCAGACCATAAACAAAAGTACTATACTAGACTGAGTAGTGAACACACTCTCCAGTAGCTCACACGTGCAGAAGTTGTATTTACCTTTATTTATGGCTTTCATTTAGAGACATTTAACAATGTATAGATGCAGGGGTTCAGCAGTAATGTGATTACACTAAATCTGTTAATAGTTGAAAGACAATATCCCAGGCTTGGCAACTTCATCAAAACACCAGACACCAACTGCTCATAACAAACAGATATCCCTGAAGTTCTTATGTTTACTACATATGAAATATATTGTACAAACCAAGTGCAGCTAGTACAGAATTAATACATTCATTATAATTTCAAGTAATTTCTAAAACTTTTACCAAAAGCAGGAACTAATCTTAATGTTAAGTCATTTATGATTTTCAATGTTTATATCCTCACATTTAAGCTTACACAGTAATAAGATACCAATATTAAACATAAAAGGATTATTCTCTGTAGAAGAGTTGTGTGGCTCTTAAAAGAGCCGTTGTGTTGTTGGGAGCTGTGGTGTCACGTTTAACCTCCGAAGCCGTACAGGGTGCGGCCCTGTCTCTTCAGGGCATAGACCACATCCATGGCGGTCACCGTCTTCCTCTTGGCGTGCTCGGTGTAGGTGACGGCGTCACGGATCACGTTCTCCAGGAAGACCTTGAGCACACCGCGGGTCTCCTCGTAGATGAGACCGGAGATACGCTTGACTCCGCCACGGCGAGCCAGACGGCGGATGGCGGGCTTGGTGATTCCCTGGATGTTATCACGGAGAACTTTACGGTGACGCTTGGCGCCTCCTTTTCCGAGTCCCTTGCCTCCTTTGCCGCGTCCACTCATGTTGTCGAGTTCAGGTTGATCCGAAGAAAAACTTATAAATGTCGAGTCAGGAACGTCCGTATTTAAATCGTGAATGCGGACGTAAAGGAAGACATACAGCTCCGCCTCAGTCCGCCATTTGCGTTTCCTCTCTCAAGCTAGAGCCCGTGAGCCTCTGCGTTTCCGGTTAAAAAAACATCGATACTCACAATCCTGCTGACCTCTGAAATATGAAATTGGCCGCCAACTCTAGTTGTCTAATTATCAACTACTCAACGTCACAGCTGGAACTTAATGCTTCAGTTATTCTAGTCCAAGTCTGTTCCATCAAATTCACCAGATTATTGCCGTTTTTTAAACTAGTCAAACTGTTTTATTTGTGAATGTGGATAGTAATAGAAAACTACTAACTTACTATATAATTAAAATGCAAGATTAATGAAGGCAGTGGATAATAAAGCTGTGTTTAGCTTCTTTTTAAAGCCTTTAAACTGTGGACAGACGTGTAGCTCCTGTAGATCCTAGAGACATTAGGTTTATATGGATAAAACATTTCAGAAATTTATTTAAGAGCCAGAACATTTAATGACATGGGTAAAACCTTTCAGTCCATTTTAGGAACTGGAGTACCATGCTCTCTTTTCTTAGTTAAGGATGATCTAAGGGCTGTTAAGCTTTTGACTTTGTCTCCAAAAACTACAACACTTAATCCACATTTCAAAATCTTCAGTTTCTTACAACGTATGACAAGAAAGTGAGATTACACCTGCCTGAATACAGCCAACACACAGCAGTTCCACACACCTGTCCTCAGAGAACGCTTTTCTTTCAGACATGTTAAAACACGTCCTGTGTGATATGTGTGGTCCATCAACTGAGCTGACTTCATGCAACTTCAATTGTACAGAGCAGAAAATAGCTGTGACTTCATGTCCAGGACTAATACACAGAAGAGGATGTCGGCTTCCACATACTCTCATTCATTCCTTAGTTTTTATGGCTGTTTAAAGCTAATTCCAAGTAAATGGAAAAATCAACATGAAAATAAAATCATTGCATAAGTGTATGTTACTCATGTTCTCATGTCCTGTGCTGTTTGACAAGCAGATATTGTTGAGGTAGAGCGGACTGCTTAGCTGTTGTGTAAATAATTTAACACTAATTGAAAAGCACCTTTTCATACGGGAAATGTAGCACAAACTGCTTTACAAAATAAATTACATGCACCAAGTGCTTCACATGAAAAGACAAAATTAACAAAAACATTAACATAAAATTAAGTAATGGAAAAGTATGGTGTTTGCAGTGTACTTCCCAGTAGCATTAGGTAATGTATACTCCTGAAGAACAGGATCAGTCAGGACTTTTACCTAGTAACACTTAACTTGTATGTAATCTTTAATAAGCCAGTGATCATAAATATAGAAAGGATTATGCTCCTTCCCCAGCTCATTTACATATTCAGTGATTAAATTAATACTAGTCATAATCATTAGGGATTATTCTCTGTAGAAGAGTTGTGTGGCTCTTAAAAGAGCCGTTGTGTTGTTGGGAGCTGTGGTGTCACGTTTAACCTCCGAAGCCGTACAGGGTGCGGCCCTGCCTCTTCAGGGCATAGACCACATCCATGGCGGTCACCGTCTTCCTCTTGGCGTGCTCGGTGTAGGTGACGGCGTCACGGATGACGTTCTCCAGGAAGACCTTGAGCACACCGCGGGTCTCCTCGTAGATGAGACCGGAGATACGCTTGACTCCGCCACGGCGAGCCAGACGGCGGATGGCGGGCTTGGTGATTCCCTGGATGTTATCACGGAGAACTTTACGGTGACGCTTGGCGCCTCCTTTTCCGAGTCCCTTGCCTCCTTTGCCGCGTCCACTCATGATTCCGATAGTTCACAGAAACTGATGACGAGAGCGTGAGTCGCGTCCGTATTTGAATCCTGTCTGCGGACGTTAGTGAAGACAAACATGTATCCACTGGGCGGGAAACTGGGCGGGAAACCGTTAACCGTTGGCGTTAACCCTTTGTTTAATGAATAGAGGATATTATCTTGTGTTTTCATACAAACTTCTGTAGATGTCTAATCACGTATTTTTCTTTTGTTTCTTACATGTTTTCCCGCCTGTTTCCGTCAATGAGTGAGATTGACTGCACGTTAAATTATCACTGTGCCATCCTTTCAGGTTTTATTCCTCCAGTCTAACACAGTATTGTATTTATCACATAAACAGGCAACAACCTGTGTATGTATTAAAATAGAGATAATATGTTGGTTCTTAAGGGACAGTGTGTTCATCATCACAGAGTATAATGCTAGTCTAAGGCACAGCCTAATGTATTTAGTGCATTATTATACACTGAGGTCCGAAATAGGAGAAGCAGAACAGAATGCAATTGTTTTAATTGATGAGACCGTTGGCTGCGTTTTATCATCTTTATATGATCCTGTTGAATAAGAACGTTGTTTGTTATTTAAATTATATTGTAAAGTCTTGTGTGTTCACTGTTCTTTCATGAATAACTTTTAATCTACATTCAGGTTTCTGTTGAAAATGAGATTTTTATCTACTTGATTAAATAAAGGTAAAAAAAAGTGAACACAATAAGAGAACGGTATAACACTGATGTGATATATTTAAAGTGGAGGATTAAATGAAGGTGGTGGAGAACAGAGCAGTTTTTAAGCTTCTCTTTGAGCAAGGTTCAGTTTGGGCAGATCTGCTCTCCACTGGCAGCTGGTGCAGAGCAGTTACTCAGTGACCAGCTCATGTAGACCAAAGACTTATACATATATTTATATATACACACACACGCACACCAACACACACACTATAAACTTATATAAACACCTCGGATACAGAGAGCAGAGTGAGTTCTTATCATGTGCCAAGAGAGTGATAAGCTTATTTCTTGGTGAAGGATGATGTTGGGACTTTAGACTTCAACACAGCTATTGATGTAATATGTATTAATTATGAACAGATTATATATTTGTATGACACAAAGCAGAGGAAGGATTGTCTTAGTAGATAGAGTGGGTGGCTCTTAAAAGAGCCGTTGGGTTGTTGTTGTAGCAGAGCTGTTTACTTGGAGCTGGTGTACTTGGTCACGGCCTTGGTGCCCTCAGACACGGCGTGCTTGGCCAGCTCCCCGGGGAGCAGCAGGCGGACGGCGGTCTGGATCTCCCTGGAGGTGATGGTGGAGCGCTTGTTGTAGTGAGCCAGGCGGGAGGCCTCACCGGCGATACGCTCGAAGATGTCGCTCACGAACGAGTTCATGATGCTCATGGCCTTGGAGGAGATTCCGGTGTCGGGGTGGACCTGCTTCAGCACCTTGTACACGTAGATGGCGTAGCTCTCCTTCCTGGTCTTTCTCCTCTTCTTTCCGCCCTTGCCGGCGGTCTTGGCCACGGCTTTCTTGGAGCCCTTCTTGGGCGCTGTCTTCGCTGGTTCAGGCATCGTCAGAGATTCACTTTCCTCAAGCAAATGTGAAGAATAAGCGCTGCGCCTGCTCTTCTTCTACACACCAGATGCTAATGTGGCTGCGCTGTCCCCGCTCTGCCATTGGCTGATTGTTAACGCGTGAAAGCGCAGCTCCACCCGGAAATCTAACAGCAGGACACGGAGGAGACAGTTTAGGGGAATGCGGTTCGACCCCATTTTAACGGCACAGACAACGTGATGTGTTCATAACGCTTTACTTGAGGCATTAAAATCTATTTTAATGCTAATTAAAGACACATGTTGTGTTTTTTTCGCGGCCTTTATCACATCAGTCTGATTTCATGAACATGTTTCATACTTTTGATTGTTAACAAGAGGAATTTTTTTTTAAAGATTATCAATTAAAAGTGTATAAAATATTGACCGGTGAAAACATTTTGGTGTAATCTTAAACTTGACTTGAATACATATAAAAAAATATATGGGAAGTTTAGTTAATCTGTTTGGGGACTGAACCTACAGCACAATGAGCTTTTTAATGTATTAATTTATTTAAATGTAATTAATCAGTGGTTTTTTCTAGGTCAGAGGGGAACATTTAAAAGACTTATACCCCATACAAACTGGTTTTGGAAGGTGTCATATATCCATACAAGCAAACTAGCAAGCTGCTATGTGTTCAACATTTACTTTAGATCTGGATAACATGAGACAAAGTAAGAATTGTCCAGAAACTGTATTTATACATGAAAATCTGTCTCTCACGTAAATTCTGTTTATTAACTTTTGTTTATTAGTGTCATCTCTCTCTCTCTTGTGTTTAGGGAATAAATCTATTATACATTATAATAAAGTTAACCTTCTATTTCAACACTGTTAAGCAATGCCCTCTACAAGAATGAATTCGGATCAACCCTACATCTGCCATATTGTGTGCTCTTGTACAGTTTATTTAGTGTATGATATCATGCAAGAACATATATAATAATTATTTTCATTTCATATAAAGTTCATTTAACTTGTGTAAAATCTTTAACTGTCGAAAATAATTAACATGTGACATGAAGAACAATTTAATACATTCATAATTTATGTCAGTATCAGGATGAAATCACACAAAATTGTCTGAAATGGAGAAGAAATTCTGTCCTGAGATTTTCTGCATTTGAAGAAAAGGTACATCAGAGAAATTATATAAGAAGAATTTAGACAATAAAGTGCAGACAATAAAGATGTTTAGACAGTGACTGTGAATAAAATCAATGTCAGATTTATTGTTTGGAACCTAATGGATGATAAAAATAAGGAAAAAATGAAAATAGTAGATCAAAACTACTCTATTCTTAATGATACTGCTTCAGCTCATGTCTTCTTGTTCTTGTTCTTGTTCAGCAGTGTGATAAACATGGCCACACTGTGCTGAGATATATGTATGTGCAAGTTAGTGGCGCCATCTAGTGGCGACACATCAAAACACCACCTTCCTCATTTCTCCTCAGTCAACAGCAAACAGCCACAGTTGAGTTAGCTTCAGTTTATTTCATAACTCTTCTGCATATATTATTAACATTTTAACAAACAGGATTCTTTTTTGTTAAAAACACAATGTAACATTAACGGGATTGAGGTTTAACATGTGATACACTTAAACCACTTATACACAGAGAACGTCAGAAAGTTTTGGCTTATTCAGACCAATTTGGCAGCGTTGTTTTGGGGAACGGTGTCAGTAAAGGTACTTGATGGACGGAGGCAGCGTCACGGATGATTCACACTCACAGGCAGCAAAGTCTTAGTGACTCCACACAGGAGGGGGAACTACCTCCACTACTGTTGGCAGAGCACAACATCATAGGGCTGTATTCAGTCAAAACCATGCAATAAAAATGAATAAATAAAACAAAAAAAAAGAAAAAAAAACAAAACACTTTGCAGGTTTGCCTACAAACAGTTGCTTTTTAAGAAATGTTGTAAAATGTGGATTTGATTGAAACAGATTTGTGGACCATGAGCGCCAGTTTGTGCCTCTGAGGGTTTTTTTGTTGTTGTTGTTATGGTTACAGTCCAGTCAAAGAAAAGCAAAAGAAAAATGCACAAATCAAACTTCTAAACAGGTTTCTTCATTTCTGAGATACTTTGACACTCTTCGGTACAAAAAGATATTCCATGAAGTGTTTCATAGAGCAGGTTTTTAAACCCTTTTAAAAGTGTTTGAACCAAACAAAGAAGGAAACTCATCGTCGCTCCTGCCGTGCAGCACGTCACCAAAGGTTTTGTCAGGATCATTTATCGAGTTTAGTCTAGTTTCTTTCATATTTTCATTTCCATATAAAAATAATGTGTGAGTGTTGATTTTTGCTTCATGTGAGATGAGAATGATATGTAAGATACAACCAGAAGTCTGTCCCTGTACTTTGGTGTAACTCCTGATGCTGCACCATCACTGTGTGAATGGGTGAATGAGATATTGTAAAGTGCTCTGAGTGGCTGACAGACTGATGTAAATGAGGTCTGTTTACCATTTATTTAGTTGTGGGGCTGGTTTGGATCGAGAAACCCCCGTCCTTCCACACCTTTCAAACATTCGAGTCGGGGGCGTCTGTGAATTCACACCCACTTATCAGAGCTTTTGTGTCCTTCCTGTGAACCTAATGCAATTCCTCTTATTCCTGCCTCAGCAAAGAAGCTATCACCCAGGTAGCGTTAGTCCAGGACTCTGCCTAAAGTTTGAAGTCCCCATATTTAAACGATATCACCTCCCCGATCTCCACAAGCTTGCAGTTCCAAGCAACGTTAGCATGTTTGACACATCATACAAACTAGTTCTGATCCAGGATCCTTAGGTCCAACCAAGTTAAGCCCAGATCAACAGAAACCATGCTCGGTTTGCAAGAATTAGCCAGAACTAAGCTGGTTTAAACATCCACATACTTTTGGCCACACGTCGTATCACCTCTACAGTAGTTGCCATCTTTGTTTGGTTGAATGAACAGAGATGCACCTTGTAAAACAGATTTCAAAAAGAAAACATTACAGAACTGAACATTATTGTGAACATGACAATTCCCTAAAAGGCACAAACTGAATCTAGTGAACCACTGATGCATTTAACTGAAATCAATAAAAACCCGATCAGCCTATAAGATAAATATGTGTGTGTTTGTGAGTGTGTGTGTTGTGAGGTAATATGGAGAGCTAATGGAGGATGTTTGTAGGAGTTGAGGGGTAAGGCTGGACATCTCCAATCTACACAGTACAGGGATAGCAGCTTCGAGGAAACACAGAACACGATTCACAACTGCAGAAAACAGGGTTGAAACAATAAAACTGGAATTACTGTAAATTCTCAAATAGTGGATTCTATTTGAATTATATTCCTAATAATTAAAGTCATCTTATTTTATTAATAGCAAAAATAAACAGGACTTTTACTTCTGGAG